CATGTCCTTGCGCATTCCTCTTCACAGCAGCAAATTCAGTTCACCAAGCATTACGATTAGGGCTTGCTGCAGTTCTTTGACTCCGTTTGCATATTGCTGTTGGGTTGCATAAGAGGTAATTCTTTCACTCCTTGGGTAAAATGTTTGAAAGGCAGAATGAATATCTAGTGCTCTGCTTTGGGTCTGTTAGAGCACCTCCTCAAAAGACTGTAAAGGGAAGCTGTGAAAAGGAGATCAAAGTGGGGAGACTAATAAGGAGTTCTTAGCAGAACTTAAGTGTGCTTGGGGAATTTTGGGGTGCAGATGAATGAGCACTGCAGATCCAGGGCGATAAAATTAGCTGTCTTTCTTCCTTTAAGCTCTCTCTTTTTGAATGTTCTTATCTCTGACTTCCTTCAAGTTCATGCAGATTTTTGTTTTGCTTCAGAAGTGCTATTATTCCAGTTCTGTTGGAACTAATCAGATGTCATCTCTTGTTTACTCTGAACAATGCAGAAAAATTCTTTTAGAGAGCCTTTTTTCTAATCCAACCTTGAAAATTGTTCCTATTTCCAGAGAGGACAGCCTTTTTTCTCTCTTCCTTTGAAAATCATTTTCCCTCTCCCAACTTTTTAATCTAATTCAACTGCTGACATTTTATATTCAACTGATTTTAATTCTAAAAGTGCACACGATTGTCCATAGTAGGAATGCTGAAGTAGGAGTCAGAGCATAATAGAAAATGTACACGGAGCACACTAAAAGCCACTTCAGCAACAAAGGTTGACCTGAGACAGAAAAATCGTGTTTAAAGTCCAGAGGGCTTTCCAGTCAGACTGTAAGAATTTCAAAGTAGGTCAGACTGGCTGATGCTGTCATGTTAAGCCTTGCTCTGAGATGGTTTTAAAAAGAAATCAGGAAAGTCCTTTTCCACTCTTTACATTCTTTTGAGACTAGCAGAAAGGACAGGGCTGTCATTTGAACTAGAACTGTAATGTCTCAAAGATAATCCTAAGAGCTGAGTGACTGCTTAAATGATAAAAACACTTCTGTGAATCAGTGAAATAGGTAAAAATCTGTATTTGTCACTCAAAATACTGTGGTGTTTCAGCCTCATTAAAGTTGTTGTGAATCCTGACTGGTTGGTGACGCTGGAAACATCATTAAAAAGCATCTCAACTTGTAATGACTATGATTTTGCATTATGTGATTGAGGCACATTTTAGAGAAAGATATTAATGGCTCCAGTGGATGATCTAAGCAGCACGAAAGAAGTGGAAGAGACAGTTCTTTTGTTTCGCTGTTGCTAGCAATGGATGCTGGAGTGTAGGAGCAAATCACGGGGAAAAGATGTTTACACATGAATAGACTATACCCTGAAAAGCAGCAAACAACTTACAGCTTGCTTTTTTTCCCTAAAAAAAAAACCCCAAAACCCCCCAAAAACCCCAGCAAATACCTTTAATATACAAACATAGCAAATTACTTGACTAACAGTTTATATCTAGCTCATCCTTCAGGGATGACCTGTAATAGCAGATCACCTGCAAGGTTGGAGGTAGACACACATTGTTTGAAGTTTCATCTTGATAAATTTCTCAAGAGCAAAGGCCTGCCTTCTTTGCCTCTGCATAAAAAGATGTGCTCAGAAGTGAATGGAATGCCACGAAAAAAACCAGATCTGCTCAAGAGAACAAGTAATTTTCACAATCTAGGTTATTTTTTAAGTATTTTAAACCCCGTAGTTTGACAAGTGCCAAGGCACACTCAGTGTACTGACCTGGAAAAAGGTGGTGATGAAAGAAAGAGCACTCTCCCTTAAAAGTTTAAGGCAATGTCTGTTTTTGTCAGACTATCAGTAAAACCAAACTCCTCATTCCAAAGGTAAATCACAAAATCTGAAAGTGAAAGACTTCACTGAGTACATTCTCTCATCACATTATTCTTCAAAACATTCTTTTTTAATATACTGTCTCAGTTCAGTATCTCAAATGATTTATTTAACTGATGGAAAAATACAAACCGGTATAAACAAAATATTCTGGTTACATCCACATAGAACTTTTCTATTGAAATATTATTTACCTAAAGTCGATTTAGAGATATAACATTCGGTTTTCCTAGGACAAGATGACTGCATCTGAGATCAGGTAGAGCATCCCCATGCTCATATTCTGCCCTATTTCCCTTCCTACATTGTATGGATGTAAATACTTTTAAGTCCCTGTGTTATTTTTTATAGCTTCTTTTACTTTAGAGTAAGGCACTTTATTCAACACATACATAATTTAAGCCAGACAGTGAAACTTCTAGTAAGGAATATCTCAGATAAGCAATCTTTGTCTTAAAAATGCCCCTCGACAATTTCAAACATTGTCCCCTGAGGCTCCTAATACTGTATTGTTCAGCCTCTGCTACAAGACACCGCTATTAGTCAACACATTTTTCTGACAGGTTTAATGCTATATTATTCTGCACTGCACTTCAGAGGAAAAAAAAAAATCTGTATGAAAAAGTAACCAAATTCATTTATGTCTGGAAACATTAACTCAGCATAGGAACAGTATGAAACAGCTCTTGCTACATTCTATGACTCATTTGGCAGTAATACAGCATTTACAGGTACCTGATACAGAGTTCCACTCCAGCATGGACAGATATCTTGATGCAAAATAATGATCAAATAAAGTGAAAATAAATCCAGGATGCAATGATTGATAGGTGAAAATGCTAGACTATTCTTGACAGTCTTAATTTGAAAAATAAACAAGCTTTTAATCAGGTACTATATTCTGCTAGCCAGCACAGAACAACAGAAAATATGACTTTAAATGAACAGCCCTTTTTACAAGCTACTGAATGTTCCACTGGTGTCTGGATCTTTAAAGCTGAAAACTGCTCTCAGCATATGGAGCAAATATATGGTCCTCAGTAAGCTGCCCTGAGGAGCTGGGTCGAAGTGTGTACACAAGAATGACCCCTGGTCAAGTAAGTCCCAGCGTGCGTCTCTTCCAGCAGCCACTGGGCTACTAGGGAAGAGTCTGTTTAGTCCCCTCCAAGCCTAGAAGCTTGAAATGCTTTGCATCAACCGAATGTTATTTTGTAATGCGCTTCTGAAATTACGCTTTCAGAAATAGAAGTGTCCTGGATATAATGGCTGGTGGGAGCTGTATCGCACCTTTGGGCTAGAGAGTGTGCTCACCGGCTGTGTTCTTCTGTGTCCCGCTCTCTCCCAAGTTGAGGTAATGTTCAATATGGCATAAATACCAATGAATATCGAGTTTTGTTTGCCTCTTCAGCTGCCAAGGGGCTTTGTTATTTTTGTTCACATTGCTGTAAGATTTTTTTTTTTACCATTCTGTAAAGACTGTACCCCTTCTACTTACCCAGAAAGGTATCTCAAATGTGTTAAATTACAGGGTGGCAAAAAACAGATTTTGAGTAATAAACCTTATTTCATTGATAGTAAAAATTTCATCTCTAAATAACAAATGACGGAAAAGTCACAATGCATATGACAGGAGATCAGGGACCACAATAGTGTAAAACACAAACAGTCTTTTCTGTCCTTTCTTATTTGGACTCTCAAAAGCTCCCATTTGCAAAGCAGGTACATGGTTTCTCTTTTCTAACAAACAGCCTAGTATTTCCTCATGCTCTATTTCATTATTTTTATGATGTAGGAACTATGCTCCTGTGACTAAAAATATTCAGAAGTTAACTGCAATTAAAAAGCATTCAAATACAATTCATTGGTGTATCAAGAGGAAGGAAGTACAAAATAGCCAGAAGAAATGTAATAAATGACGAAAACCCAGGAGAGGAGGCTACATAAAATATTGGGAGGTTCTTCCTGTCTACGTGGTAAACCAGCCTATACAAATTCTGAGGTTCGCAGCTCAGGATTTTAAGCTAAGGATACGGACAAATCATCACGGTTCCTAGCATTAATGCAAAACGTCAGTCCTGCTGCTCAGTTATGCTTTGCCCAGCTACCGCCTCAGGGAAAAGGTGATAGCTCTGACGCACAATCTCCTCCACCCAAAGCAATTCTCTCATAACTCTTTTTTCACAATTTATTTTCCATGCCCCAAAATTGTATTTCTGAATTGTCAGTACCAGTTACTCAATGTGATAACAATGTTGATATTGTTCCAAGCCCAAATTAAACCCTGAAGTGCTAACCTGGTAATACATCTGGGAGGAGATTATTTCAGAGGAGTGTCAACTGCCAAACAAAAGGGAACATTTCTGTTCCTTGCATATTAAAAACACTGCTTTGGGCTGCAACGTTCTTCAGTTACTGGAATTACGAAATAGACATAAATGAATATAAAATTATGGGTCAGCAAATATAGAGCTCTACCGGTACTCTTAACTGGCTCAAAAATTTATTTTCAGTATAATTCTTTATGGATATCTTCCATAATTTTCATTTAGTAAAGTTCATACCCATTACTGTACAACCCTTGCAACACTAAGTGTTATTTAAGTGGTGCATATTATTACGATGTTATTATTTGCTACTGTAAATAATACTTAAGGAGCACAACACTATGATAACTTGTTCCTGTTGGCTAAAATTAAATATTGAAACCGACTTCAAATTTACATTTGTAACTGTCAGTTAGGGTGCAAACAACAGAAATGGTCATTTGGGATCATATGTTTTTAAAAACTTTACCTTCTCATTTGCTTTATACATCGTCTCCAACTGAAAGGGTCAACATTTAGAATCCGTATTTGAGTCAATGTTAGTATCAATAAACTTCAGTTTAAATTAATGCAAAGGATATACTCTAATGGAAAAGAAATTCTTCACTTCACTAACTACTTCTAAAGTCTGAAGTCTGAAGGAGTTGTGAAGTGTTGTTCAATATTGCATGTGCAAAACTGCGTTTAGTGTCTTCAAAGGACTCTAAGTGGCCAGACATCTCTTACCATCTCTTCTATCTGCACACATTAAAGACATTAGTCTGTGGTTTCTGTTAAGCCCAGAGGTGACAAATGCTGGGAAACTGTCACTCCTGCGCTTTCAAACAACTGGTCTGGATATGTGAGATTTGCAGAACTGGAAGCAATAGCTGGAAAGCATCCTGAATGTAAGTAGTGCTGTTGCAACCCTAATGGGGAGAGAAAACATGTGGTTCATCAGTAGAGCTGTCATGCTTTTCAGGAATTACACTGTACTTTTTAAATACACTTTTTTTTTTAAACATCTGCATCGTGCTACATTAGCATATGTATTCATACAAGACTTTTGAATCTGTAGATAACAAAAATGATTAATTACAATAGTTTACACCTGCTATATAAAAATCTGATTTCCCCTGTTTGAACTGTTGGACAGTTTTGTTTGTAATGTGCACAGAATAAAATGCCACAGTGTTTAGAAGTAGCTTTCAAAGTACAAACCAGCTAGTCTTCCCATCAACAGAACTAATTTTGAATTTGGTGTGGGTGGAAGAAGTATCACTGAAATTAACAGTTTGAATTATTATAATAGTTTTAACACACAGTACTATTTTTGGAATTTCTAATGCTGAATAGTACAGCAGCTTGTAATTCTCCATGATCCTAGGCTGGGCTAATACATATTTATATACAAATACAAGACTTAAGAAGTACAAAACATCATATTCCACAATTCTGGACATTCCCAGATTTTGCAGTCCCTGGAGCACAGAAAGATATGTCAGCTTCAACAGCAAATTTACCTTATAACAGAAGGAACCATATAGTAATCTTTACTACAGCTCTATTCAACTTTCCATCATTTTCCATAGAGGTACTGTTAATTGGGTGCAAAAGTGCATATTGTAAAACAATCTTTTCCTCATTTTTAAGGGAACACAGAGAATGACAATTTGTAATCACTACTGTGTGCTTATTTATGTTTAAAGAGAAGTGTGATCTAATTAGTAGAGTTAATAGAATTCATACTGCAGATAGTACACATTTCAGTGTACTTAGGAGCATATTACTCCCTCTTGATAAAACTGAGGCACATTTTACCCACTGTGCTTTTCTGATGAAAATTAGCTCACGGTGTCTAATAAAAGAAATCGCATACATCTTGGTGATGCCTGACACACGGCTGTTCATTAGTAGGGAGGTGATCGTGCCCCTGAACTCGGCACTTGTGAGACCGCACCTCGAGTACTGTGTCCAGTTTTGGTCACCACAGTACAAGAAGGACATCGAGGTGCTGGAGCGGGTGCAGAGAAGGGCAACAAAGCTGGTGAAAGGGCTGGAAAGCATGTGCTATGAAGAGAGGCTGAGGGAACTGGGTTTGTTTAGTCTAGAGAAGAGGAGGCTGAGAGGAGACCTTATTGCCCTCTACAACTACCTAAAAGGAGGTTGTAGCGAGGCTGGTGTGGGTCTCTTCTCTCAAATTAGTAATGATAGGACGAGGGGGAATGGCCTCAAGTTGCACCAGGGGAAGTTTAGATTGGATATTAGGAAGAAATTCTTCACTGAGAGGGTAGTTAGGCACTGGAACAAGCTGCCCAGGGAGGTGGTAGAGTCGCCATCCCTGGAGGTGTTTAAAGAACGAATAGATGTGGCGCTTGAGGATATGGTGTAGTGGTTAAAGAAATGCTGGGAAAAAGGTTGGACTTGATGACCCTGGAGGTTCTTTCCAACCATAATGATTCTGTGATTCTATGTGCTGACCAAGCCTGCGGCTGGACTGTGAATATCTGTAAAAATCTAAATGCCCATGGGTGGGAAGCCCTGCAGCACACCTACAACTCAAATTTTAAAGAAAAGAGTAGTCTGAAACTACCCGTGGATCAGAAATACTTTGCAATGAGGTAGGTAACGGAACAGTAATGATAAGTCTAATCAGAGGTAACTTGTGAATGTTAGAAAAGGGCCAAAAAGCACATTTTAAATGTCTGCTGTGCTCTGAACAATACAGCAGCGGAATTTAAGAGCTGACCAGTCTTACTTCCATCATACAGTTCTTAAGAATCCTCAGTCAATGCAATATTACTACTATCGTATTTGTGGGAGAGGCTGGACACAAAAATGAGAAGTTTATGAGCTCGCACTGAAAGGCTAGAATGATACTGTCATTGCTTTTTATATAGTTCTTTCTTCAGACATAAATGTGACTGTTTAATTTCAAAATCATTTTACTAGAACATTTCCTAACATAAAAAAAAAGTGAAGGCTTACCTCTAATAGCACACTGTTGACGATGGGGTTAAGAACCTCTGCCTTCATACTGCTCTGTTAACCGGAAAATAGAATGAAATGCCAGGACAAGAAATACATTTAACAGAAATATACGGATATCTGCGAAGTGGGTTTATGAATTCTATAAAGGTCTTGCTTCACCTTGATTCTTATTCAGACTGTTTATCACAATATTCCTGATAACTGTGCCTACATTTCATACACACTTCAGTAGACCTAGGTATTTCTATCACTGAGTACAATGAACTAAGACGGGCCCAGGGTTTTATCTTTTCATTAATTCATGTATCACAGAATTTCAAATTGCCTGGTTCCCTATGGATGTGAGATTTATGTGATGACATTGTCTGTCCAACTGTCTGCCAGTGTCCTTTTCATCTCCCCTAAAATTTTTTAACCCAACCCCTTGCTCATTTTCAAGGAGACAAGAAGGAAAAAAAGAGAGGCAAGAAGGAAAATTAAGTTCTTATAAGTTTTGCAAATATCTGAGGTTAGTTCCTCCTAACCTCATTTTATTTCCTCATGAAAGGCCCAGATTAATTCCCCTCCAGGGAAAAACAGGTGACACCGAGATCCCCAAATGGGAAGCAGTATATCTTGAGCTGGACAACACAGGCTGACGAGTAGAATTAGCTCAGCACGCACAGCGTTTTCCTCAACCACCAGGTAGGAATAAAGATTGGTACAATGAGTAGTGACAGCACTGGAGGCCAGAAAACCAAGATTTGTCAGCTCCTCTGCTTTTTTAAATGGCAAAAGTTCTTCTCTATTTTTATTCTCGCTGTTCTTTGCAGTGTGTTTTTTTTAGAATGACAGTAACTTCCAGCAAAAGTTGCTTCCTTTCAGTACCGGACCGGTGAACTTTATTAGAACAAAGAAAACACAACACTGATTAATTTACCTGAAAGGTTTCCACTTACAGCCTTGCAGCTTTTGTATTACAGATTTAAAGAAAAACAAAACACCTCAATTTTAGTTTGGACAAACATGGTGGAACAAAGGGAAGATGGTTAGAGAAAAAAAGAGCAATTTTACTGTCAGTTACTACAAAATCAATTATGAAGTGCACTGTTTAGGTGATTGACAATAAATTGAAACAGAGAGTAGTATCTATTAAATACTATTGATTGAATGAATAAATAAGTTAAAGTTTGAAAGAAATATTGTATCACAAGCAAAGTTGTTATTTCTCACTTCTGCACCACTGCTTACTCAGAAGCATCCCCAGCGTTACAGACTAGGCAGGTGTACAGCCAGAATTACAACTACTGTCTGAATTAAACAGGTGTGACTATAGGGATGGCACTACTTTGGGGAAAAAACCAAAAGTGCAGTATTTTCTGATCTCTAAGGTCCCTTCCAGCCTAGGCCATTCTATTCTATGGTTTAAGCCATTTCTCAGTTTCTCATGAGTTAATGCACACTGCAGGACACTGGAATGAGTTTGTGAATCCAGCTGTTGTTGGTAGGTTAAAAAAAGCTGGCCCTAAAAACTGAGTACAGAGTTGATAAGAACAAAACCTAGTGCAATGCTTATGAAAGCCTTAGTTTCCAATTTTCTGAGCTGGGCCAGCTTAATATTCCCTGCATGATTTATTTTTATATGCCTGCATGTATTTACTGCAAGTGTCACACAAAGATATGCTAAAATACAATCCCAAAACGCAAAATAAGCAGTTTCTCCCAGAGTAATGGAAAGGAATGTAAATTATTCAGAATAAAACCAACCCAATAAATCATGTTTTCTACAAATAACTCTGAAAAAAACTTGTTCAGAGATGTGCTGGAAGAGCTCATGGGAGAACTGGGAAAATATCCTTTGATGTACATTCCCATTTTCATGGAGCAATCAGGAGAGCCAGAGTTTGTTCTTCTCTGACATTTACAGAACAATTTCAGCAACAGCACAATTTGTGCCTCTGGATCCTGCTAGAATACTCAGATGTCAGTCATCTTTAAACCGTCTTGAAGAGCAGGATACTATTTCTAACAAAGATAGTCACAGATAAATGAATGTTCCTAAATGGAGTATCTTGAGATATAAGATAGGGTGATTTTTATTTTTTTTTTAAGATAGAAAACCAAACATATTTTTCTAATCTCTGAAACCTTCTAAAAACACATTGGCCCTAGGTCAGGGGATTTAGCAAATTCTAAGAAACAGCACCTTAAGGTACTGGAAGTGTTGTGTAACCTGTTAATGACTTTTACACAAATGCATCCAAAAGGGATAGGCTGAACAGTGGAAGAAAATACCACCAAGTTGTGGGACTTCAAAAGCGGGACCCTTTCAGCACGAGCAGATAAGAAGTGCTGAGCGGTGATCAGGAAAAATGTGAAACGGTGTCTAGAAAGAGAGATTTTAGAAGATAGGGCACACACTGCAGCCTATCAAACCTTACAAACTTTCTCTGCAACAGGGAATCTGCTGTAAAAATGCTCCGTGTTCTTGATCTGAGGAAAGAAGTGCTCTGTTTGCTGGTACCTTATGTACAGCCACAGGACTCAGGAAATAATTCCTGTTTCAAGTAAGTGAACTATGTTTAAAAAAAAGGCCAAAACGCTGCAGGAAATGCTGTTTTCTTACCCCAGTGGCTGTTAAAGAATCGGAAAACTTCTTTGATAAAGTTGAAACTTCATTGCACATGGCACTTGTTAAACTGTTTAAAAAAAGAGACAAATATAAAAATACATCCTTGTCCTGTCAACAGATAAAAACCCTGTCCCAGGTATAAACTTTATCTTAGAAGCCAAGAGTTTTCTTAAGGCAATTTTGCTTATGGCAATGTTTTTTAATATTTTGGGGTAGACGTTGTGCATGATATAGTTTTTGTATTCCTCTACTGAAAAATCCACTGCTGACTACAGCAGCAAAATGATGTCACGTTGGCTCAAACACTAGTCTTTTTTTGACAGGGCAATGTTTCAATTTTTTAAACTCTAAACTCGCAGTTTAACTATTCTTTTTCTAATGATTGCAGCAATGCATCTCCTAGAAACACTGCTGGAAATAAATCAAACTTTAATGAGAACAGCGAGAAGCTTCCTATCTAAGCAATAAAACATCGACTCCGTACTAAAAGAGGAAGTAGCCTTGTGGTTAAAACACGAGAGAACAAGGAGATCTAGTTCTGCTCCCAGATCTTTCACTGTTTTGCTGAACGTTCACAAGTGCATCACAGAGAACCTCATCCCACACAGTGCACCACACCTTAGCTCTAATACTGAAAACACTTTTTCAAATACTTTGTTTTAGACTGAAATATTCCCATGGGCTTTGCTACTGTTACTTGAATTCCTAAGGATAAACATTTACTTAAATACTTTACTTACTGGATGCTTACAACATCTTAACATCAAAACCCACTGAAATCAGTAGAATTGATTACTGCAGAGAACTTGAGCTCTGAATTTTCAGTTCCACCAGATAAACTGACTTCTTGACTTTATGCATGCTTTGTCATGGTTTACTACAAAGTTGCTGACAAATGTAGTCTTATTGTTTAGAACTACAGACTGATATTTGTACATTTTTGGCAGATAAACACTAGATCATGAAACTGGCAGATAAGACAACTGCATTATGTGCTCTAAAAGCAAATTCTATATATGCTAGCAAAGTATCTTTCGTGGAGGGAACAGGAAATGCAACCCAGATTAGGTTGTACTTTCACTTGTTGGAGCAGAAGTAAGTTTGAGCCTGGGAACAGGTCAAGGTTTTGTAGGTCACGTCAAAAAATGACAGGTAGCCTATGTAGCTGGCTTATATGAGAAAATACAGCACCAGGGGCCCTAAAGCCAAACCTGTTTGTTGATCCATGAACTTACTGTGCCTTCGAAGTGTCAAAAGCTGAAGGGAACTTCATGCATTTTAAGCAAATGTCAAATGTTCACACGTGAAGCACGTTAATACTCACTTTGTCAGTACTTTTGCTTGATCTTGAGGTGTTTTTTCTACTTCCTGCCCATGCAGAATTAATTCTGCTACTTTGTGAAGCTGTTCAATACAACGAGCAGTCACCTCAGCAAGACTTTCAATGGACAGCATGTATATTTCCTGAAATTAAAAACAGGGAATAATATAGTCAATAACAACAACACTGATAAATATACAGATGGAGTTTTATATATTAAAAAAATTGAAACATAACAGCCTTCCCCACCCAAACTGGAAGTACCACCACATAAATAGTGAGGTAATATCAGTCATAACGTCGTCCTCACAAAGAGTACTGGAAAAACAAATATCCATAGATTACAAAACACAGACTCTTATACTTATCCTTAAAAATTAGTAGGAACAAGTATACTACTTATATGAGTGGGAACTAGGTCAGGCTCCCAGATTTTCACTTTTAAACCTAGTCCTAACAAATGGAGAGATCCCTTAATTCTAGATTAAGTCATATAACTACTCATATGGAGAGAAAAGTATGAAGCCATCCCTTAGATGACTCTCTAGAGAAGAAATCAAAAAACTGCCAATAAAAAAAGTGGCTTTTATCAGCACTGATTAAAATTTCTACCTAGCACTGTGGCGTTACAGATTGTGCAAGCTGGTGCCAGCTGGAAATCTGCAATCGCACACAAATCTGTAGTATATAAAGTGTAATTCTGTCTCCCTCTTTGGATCTTTTGGTAAGGAAGCATGACAGATAATTTCTTTATTAGAATTCATTCAAAAAGTCTTTACAAAGATACCAATCACTTTTAATATTGCCATAATGGCATAAAATATTTAATCACAATTAACCTTAACAACACGAGCGGCTGTCTAAATGGACAGAATACTTTTAGCCTTAAGGGCTATATTTCATAAAGAGCATGAACACTTGTGAGTTGCCTAAATACTATTTCTGGTTTGTCTGTTTGCGATTTAAACCATTTAAGAGTTTAAATAAAGTTTTTCCATGTATTGTCACTGGGAGAAAGAGATGTCAAGGAATGTTGAGACATGACTCTCAATGTACTATTGACATTACACCACAGAATCCTTCAGCTCACTGTGTATACATACACAGACACACAAAAACATAGAATCAAAAAAATAGAAACAATGTGATAAGCAGGGGACCTGCTACTTCGACAGTTGTGAAAACAGACTAACAGTAAAAACACTTACTTGTTTCTTGCTAGGTCTACAGTTTTATATTAATATTTCTTAATACTTCCGTCAGTTTAAAAAATGAGGACAACATATAAAACCAACACACAAAGATCAAGAATTAATCTTATTGAAGTATGACAATTTGCTTAATGACACTTATCCTCCAAAACCTATCTTACCTCCACAGTTTTGCTTCTATCTACTTCTGTTTTATCACTGTCAGTTTTAACTTCTTTTTCAGTCTTTTCTTCATCAAGTTCTCCGGGTTTTTCTTTCAACTTCTCTTCTATGTCCACTGGGGTGGAAGAACTGGCTTCTTCCAGCCATTCGTGAGCTTTTTTCCTAGCCTGCCAGAGAACCAAACCCCAAAGTCCAATTCAAATAGGGACTATCAAATGATGTTCCTGAACATTAATCAACAATTTATTTAATTACTCCTTTTTACATTCAGAAGTTTAAATACATCAAGCCTCTGTGTGGCATTTAGTAAAGTATATATATAAGAAACTGTAGAGAGAAGGATTTCTGACTGCATAAAGCTGGATCAGCCAGGGATAATTCCTCCACAGGTATGATATTTCTAGCCAACACACAGACTTGGTATTAATACTGAGGTTACTAATATTTCAGCTTTATGAGGTACCCGTCAAAGGAATTTACATAAAAATATATTTTCCAAATAAAAAAATAAGAAGGTGGAATAAAAAAAAGGAAAAAAGATCAGAGAAGTAAGAGAGATGGACTAAATTCTTAAAGGAAAAATAAACAGAAAATCACTTTATCTTCAGCTGTCTTCTCAGGCATGAAAGTAGATCAAAGTGGAAAACGCTTGAAGTCTTATACAACTTCGCACTACTCTTACAGTTAGTAGAAAATTTATGATGTCTCTTTTTTAACCTGAAGTCAAACTGAAAAAAGTTAAGACCTAAGCCTAAACTAGTTATTCATGGTCTATCTAAGTAGCCAGAGAGATAAACATTCACCTGCGCTTAACATGAGCCGGTGATTCACCTTTAAGGGGGCCTGATTGTACATACACGACTAGTGCTGTGACTGGGTCTAGCCATCTAACTTTTAGATGACTGAAGCTAGATAAGGTAAATCCGAGACACTGCTTTGAGCTAAGAAGGTCCAGAGAAGTTCCTCAGAAGAATAAACATGATGGGCAAGAAAAATTATTTTGAACCTGACCTTTGTTCCCAGTGTGTAAGACCAAACACGCTGTGTTCATGAACTCTGTTCTGCTGTGACATCCCTGGTTCAAGGCTTTGGAACACGGCCCATGGTGCTAGCTTGTCACTGCAACCGTCCCGCCTCACTAACCTCACTTCTTCTATGAAGGCTCTTCTATATTCAACATTTTAGTCCCACCCTCCTGTACTTTGCTTTCTGAACTCTCTGAACTGAGCTAGGTACAGCTCTGTGACAGACTTCAGAACAAATGTTCGGTCCAAGAAACAGAGGGCAGCTCGCTAACAGGTGCTGACCTTGTTAAGTTTGTCAGGAGTAGCAGCGACGTGCAATTCAAACAGCAGTTCAGTGAGCATGCTGACAAACTCTTCTCCCATATCTGCTGCGAGAAAAAACAAGACAGTTTTTGTTAGGGTGTTACCACTACACTATTTTACACGATCAAATACATCCAGTCAAATAGGTTCCCCAAGCACTCTAGCACTTGAAAGACAGTGTCAGTGATACAAGAAAGGGAGGTGGGGGTGCACCTGTGTACGTGCTCAAAGAAGAGAATGAGCAAAAGAGATACCTGTACAACCAGATACGCTGGCTTGACGCTTTGACTACTCCTTCCACCCCACTCTAAATCTCACGAAGTTGCACAAAAATGGTTAAAAGAAGCTGCATGATCCGTAGCTACCCGACAAAAATATACGACCCACAAAATAACCAAAGAAGAGATACTAACCTATTCTTTCAAACCAAGGAATAAAATCTGCCGCAGGGCCAGATACAAATAAGTTCCAGAGGAAACACACTGGAAAACATGTTCTCTACTGTTCTGTCTGCAAACCACAGCTAAGAGGTGTGTTCTTTTTCTATTTTAAGATTGAGTTTTGCTTAAATGAAAAATGTTTTCTGTTCTGCTTTGGAGCAATGAACTTTAGAGAACGTGTACTTCTATTTCACAAGATTTATGAGCAAAGAGAAGTATCACTAGTATTCAAAATTCATTTTTGTTATATATATTCCTCTGACTACCTGAAGTTGCCATACTCTAACATGCTTTAAGTTCCTAAAGGCTGGCTGTTTCTGTACATGTGCACTTACTGAGTTTGGAATCTTAACACTTCCTGGTGGAATACACAAAATCCATTTTTTTAGCTTGATGACGTTAAAAGGTCAAAGTCCCCATGCTAAGCCTGATAAAAGTCCTGCTACCTCAAAAAAAGATTTCATGTCTTGTGGTGTTCCCATGTTTTTTGTTCATTTATTAGGTAGGGCTAGTTCTTCCATTTTTATGCAAATCTTCAGTACTGGGCTTAAAAGCCCAGATTTATTTTAGTTTTATTTTAATTTAATTACTCTCCAATGAGTTTGGGGATTTTGGTACAACTGTTTACATTCCTCAGTACCCTGCAATGGGTGGTGGAATCTGACTCTCAGATTATACTCTCCTAAAGCAAAGGATATCTCACCTCTGCTTGTAAAGAGTGCCCATCTTTGGTGCTGTAAAACAAATTCGTATTTAGCACAAAGAACTTTTCACACAACAACCAAGAGACTGAGGTTTCCTTTTAACAGCAGGGGAACAGGTCAAAAAGATTGTTCTCTGGCAGCCAAAGAGATGCAGAGAGTTCATTTCATCGCAGCCCTTTTCAGTAAATTTTGGCAACAGGATTTTCAGGTTTTACAGTTCAGCATCTCTTGGATACACTGAACTCATCTGTTTTTAAAATTGTGCCAAATTGTTTTATAAACTCCAGCATTCTGAAAACACTGGATCAATGCAGAATTACCAAAATTGTTGATAACTGGCATATTCAATTCAGTATTCACTTCAGTTACCATCTCCCTTAACCCCACACCCGAAATTTTTGGTGTTAATGGCTTTCAAAATGTAGGTAAAGCTACTTTTTCAGATATTCTCCTCTCATTATCTCATAAACAACTAAAAGGAAAAGAAGCTGCAACGAAAAATAGATGAAAGGGTTGCATAATGAAAGTGAGAGGAAACATTAGAAGGGCATGCATTTGTCAGAAAATACCTTCTCCTTTTCTTTCTTTTCATACTGATTTTGCACTTGACTGTTAAGCAAAGACACAAAAACCCCACAATTCCAGTTTCAAAGCTGTTAGGAACAAAGTTTCCCAAAACAGTCCTCCAGAGATCACTGCAGTAATTTCTCCTTGTGTAGGACTGAAAGTGTCCATGGTAGAAACTAAAAGCAGCACAAACATCTCTGAATGAGATCCCAAGAGTCTTGGATAAGACAGGATCATGGGAGTTTACATAAAACAAACGGCCACCCTTTGCAAACATTTCAATGCAAAGTACTGGTTTTCCTCCCAGCTAGTCTTTTTTTTATTTGCTGAATATATATAGCACTGACAAATGACACCATATAAATAACATGACTTTGATGATGAGAAAGTGGTAACAAGTTAGCAATAAGTGGTAACTAACTTGTTTTCAAATACTGCTCGGAGGCTAGATTAAGATTTAACATTTTCAAACACCATTAGTTAATCTCTGTCTTTCGCAGGAGGGTGGCTTCCTTACATAAAGGAAAAACACATAAATTTTATTGAGCTAGAAAGCACAAATCAAAATCCTG